AGAAATGGGGTCTTGCTGTGTTGCTCAGGCTGGTCTGGAATACCTGTCCTCCCACCTTGGCCTCCCAAAGTGCTAGGATTACAGGTGTGAGCCACCACACCCAGCCTAAAAAAAAATTTTTTTTTAATCTTTCATTCTGTATTCATGAAAATATTTTTCAAAAATAGACATGAAATAGACATTTTCATATGGATAAAAGCTGAGAAAATGCATCGCCAGAAGGCCAACACTAAAAGAAGTGTTAAAGGAAATTCTTCAGGCTGCAGGAAAAGAATGCCAGATGGAAACATGAATTTATGGGAAGATATGAAGAGTGCCAGAAAGAGAATTAGGGTAAATATACAAGGGGTTTCCTAGTTTTTAATTTCTTTAAAGAATAATTGACTGTTTAAAGCAAAAATAATCGTGTGTCGTAGGGTTTAAAACACAAAAGTCAACCATGTGACTGTAGTTCTGAGGAGGGAAAAGAAAATGGAAGCAGTGTCGTAAGTTTCTTATGTTTATGTGAAGTAATATGATGCTTCAGTGTAGACTATGTTGAATAAAAGAAGCTTAATGTCAACCCTAAAGCAGTCATTGACAGTATAAAGCGAGTATAGTTAATAAGCCAACAGAGGAGATAAAACGGAATATGAAGAAGTTATCCGGAAGAGCAGGAACGAGCCGGGTGGTAGATGCAAACCTGCTAAGTCAGTGGACGTCACGTATAAATTGAGAAACGTTACAATTTACAGCAAGAGTGTGTTTGGATAAGAAAGTAAGATCCAGCTATATGTTGTTTACAAGAGGTAAATATACCATGCAAATACTAATCATAAGAACACTATAGTGGGGGCCAGGTGCCGTGGCCCACGCCTGTAATCCCAGCGCTTTGGGAGGCCAGGAGTTCAAGACCAGCCTGGGCAACATAGACCCCATCTGTACAGAAAAAATTCTTTTAATTAGCCATCTGTAATCCTAACTATTCAGGAGGCTGAGGTAGGAGGATCACTTGAACCTAAGAGGTCGAGGCTGCAGTGAGCTATGATCAGGCCACTGTACTTCAGCCTGGGTGACAAAGTGAGACCGTGTTTTTCTAAATTGAAAAAAAACCAAAAAATCTATGTAATTCACCACATTTACAGAATAAACAAGAAAAGCCATATGATTATCCCAATAGATACAGATGCTTTTGATGAAATTCAGTGCCCATTCATAATTTTTTTAAAAAATCAGGAAACTAGGTATAGAAGGGAACTTTCCCAACTTGATGAAAGATATCTGTGAAAACCTGGAGCTGACATTCACACATAATCATGGAAAACTCAGTGCTTTCCCTTAGGATAAGGGACATGGCTGACCACTCAAAAAGTTTCTGACTACACAGATAGGAATATAGTCATCACAGAAAATCTTAAAGAATGTACAAGAAAAAATCATTAATTGGTGACTCTAGCAAGGTTGGAAGATGCAAGATCAGTGTGTGAAAATTGTATTTCTATGTACTAGCAATAGGTAGTTGAAATATGAACTCTAAAAATTTCATTTTACAATAGCATCAAAACATAATACTTTGGGATAAATTTTATGAAAGATGTACAAGATGTCTATACTGAAAGTATAAAACATTGCTCTAAGAAATTAAAGAAAATCTGAATAAGTGGGGAGATATACCATGTTTATGGATTAGAAGACTCGTTATGATGCCAGTTCTCCCCAAGGTGATATATGGATTAAGTGCCTCTCTTAATTATAGACTTTATTGACAGGCTGATTATTCAATTTATAGACAAAGGATGTCTTGGAAAAGAATAATGAAATTGGAGCGCTCCTGCATCTTATTTCTAGACTCCGGTAGTCAAGATCATGTGGTATTAGCATAAGTGTGGACAAGCAGATCAACACAACAGAATGGGGAATTCAGAAACAGATCCATGTTTGTGTCAACCAAAAAGAGGTGAAAAACCAGACTGTAATGAATAAGGCAAAGCATTTATTGGGGTCTTAGGAATTTCAATTTGAGAGACATAGATTCTTCTAGAAGCCAAATTGTGTTCGCAAGAGAGGGAAGGGAGTAGGGGTTTTTAAAAGAAAACTGAGGGCTGAGCACAGTGGCGGTGGCTCACACCTGTAATCCTAGCATTCTAGGAGGCCAAAGCGGGAGGATGACTTGAGGTCAGGAGATTGAGACCAGCCTTGAGTAAGAAGAGTGAGACCCCGTCTCTACTAAAAATACAAAAACTAGCTGGGCGTGGTAGCGCCTGCGTATAGTCCCAGCTACTCAGGAGGCTGAGGCAGGAGGATCACTTGAGGTCAGGAGTTTGAGGCTGCAGTGAGCTCTGACGACGCCACTGCATTCTAGCCCAGGTGACAGAGCGAGACTCTGTCTCAAAAAAAAAAAACAAAACAACAGAAAGAAATACCCACTATGCCAAATGCTGGTGAAAATGTGCAGTGATCAGAATTCTAGGAGGAATATAAAATTATGCAACTTCTTTGGGATTAGGTCTGGCAATTTGCATCAGCCTTATACTTTATAATCCAGTAATTACACTTCCAGCTATTTACCCAAAAATACTTGTAT